CACACACACACACACACACACACACACAAATAAAATAAATTAAAAAAAAAAAAAAAGCCCATCTAAATACACAGTCTCACCCCGTCTCAAAAACAAAAAAATGATTGAAAAGTGAAGGAGCTGGGCATGCTGGAACATGCCTGTTATCTCAGCACTCTGAACACTGAGGCAAGATTACTCCAAGATCTAAGCCAGCCTGGGCTACAATGGTGAGTTTAAGGCCAGTCTGTACTACACAGAGACCCTGGCTCAAAAACAGAAGAAAGGGGGGCCTGCCCCGTGGCTGCTTCAACAAAGCAGTCAGGCTCAGGTTGCGGTGGTTCGATACCCATAACTCAAGCCAGCCAAACCTGCCCTGAAGGCATTTGGAGCCAAAAAAAAAAAAAAAAAAAAATCCTTCAAAAATAGAAGAGGGGCCAGGGAGATGGCTCAGTGGAATAAGCACTGCCCTGGCAAGTGCAAGGGCCTGAGTTCAATCCCAGGTTCTGGAAAAAAAAAAAAAAAAGTACCTGCTACATATGTCTGCAATTATATAAAACTCTAAAACATACAAAGCACAAAAATAGAAGAAAAATAACCCAGAACCATGCATGGTGGCACACACCTGTAATCCTAGCTCTGGGGAGGCTGAAAACAGGAAGAGCATTACAACTCTGAGCTATGTAGTGAGACCCTGTACAAAAAACACTTGAAAAAAAAAAAAAAAGTGGAGGAAAAAATGCATTCTCAACCCAGCCTCTCTTCCTTTTCTCTTTCCATTCAGTGAATTCCTAATTTTTATTTTATTTTTTTTTCTGTGGCGGAACCGGGGATTGAACTCAGACCCTTGCGATTGCCAGGGAAGCGCTTATTCTACTGAGCCATCTTCCCAGCCCCAATTTAGTGAATTCCTACTAGATACAAAGCCTTTTTCTGCTCCCTCAGTCCCTGGCGTAAATGCTACCACACCTCAAAGCCCTCCCTAGGTTATCTTTTTGTCTGTTTTGTTCTGAGACAGGGTCTCACTGTGTAGTTCAGGCCGGCCTTGAGCTCACTCTGTAGCCCCGGCTGGCCTCAAACTCCCGTTGATCCTTCTGCTTCAAACCTTCTGCCTTAGCCTTCTGGGTGTTAGGGTTATTATAAGCATGCATCACCACACCTGGCCTCTTGGATCATCCTTACCTAGGAGGGAAATTCTCTCCTAGAGGACACTTACAAGTCCTTAATTTTCATTTACCTCATACGCCACAGGAGCAAAACCAAACCATCTGCCTCCTTCAGACAAGCAATGCTGTCTGGCCCAACACTTCTGCATACACAGTGCCTCTGCTGGAAAGGCCATCAAGGCTCAGCTCAGTCCTGCTCTGGAAGTCTCCCTAAGCCTTCTGTCTACTGCAGGTAGTCCTATGACATTGGCATTAGACATCAGTGAGAGACCATAACCACTGAAAGGTCCACTGCTAACAAGTGACCAGCTTCACTGACAGGGCGGAGGGCAAGTAAAGACGGCAGGGTTCTTGCTATACAGAAAGGAAAGAAACAATACAAAGTAACTGAGGCAGTGAGTGATACAGTAAGAGTCAGCTCAAGGACAGAACAGAGGAGCATCCTGGGAGACAATGCCTGAGCTGTGAGAACAGCTGTTATGCCACCGAAAGGGGAAGAAGGGTTGGAGCCTGTGTCTAGGAACAGGAAAGAGTACACTAGAAAGCTTTGGGAACCAAGGGCAATCCATCCTATTTAGTTGTTAATGTTTTCTTGTCTTTTCTTTTTTCAATTTTTATTTTATTTTATTTTATTTTTAAATGTTTCCTTTTTTTTTTTTTTTAATGGTCAGCTTGGCCCACCCTGTGGGCGGGGCTGGCATGGCATGTGGTGCTGGGGATTGAACCGAGGTCCCTGCATGCTTCCCTAAGCAGGTACTTTTAGACCACTGAGCTATCTCGCCAGCCCATTTTCTTGTCTTTTCGAGAGAGAGTTCTCCTATGCAGTTTAAGCTGGCCTCGAACTTACTTTGTAGACCAGGCTGTTCTGGCAC